GTTTGTACATAAAAAAAAAACAGCACATCGAAGGTGTCACCAAGAAAGTGCTCACCCCTCAACGAAATGCGCTGCGTGCAGACATGAACAAGGTTTGTTTGGGGTTTGTACATATGAAAATACTGCAGAAGGAAGAGGAACAAAGTGTTGCAAACAAAAAGCACGGGTAAGAATAGATGCTCAAGACGTACGGAAAGCGAGGTGCATGCAGATCCGCCTGCATGGACTTTCCCGGTGCAAGCATACGACTGCAACTACATAACCAAAAAAGCAAATCCAAATGATTGACACGCTTGTCGTCAAATTTCGTAAAGCCCGTAATGCCACGCCACAACATGACACTTTCAAGACACCAGGACAAGCTTCTCCAACCCCAGCAACTTTGGAGACACTTGGAAGTACCTCTGCAGTTCGGTTGCATCGTCTTAAAGTCTGGAAGGCGGCATGTGTCAACTCATGGATACACCGTCATGGAGCAGCCTGTGGCAAGGGATTTGTTTCAGAGCTTAGCTGCCGGAATCATGCTTGTAGAACCACAGCACAGCAGCGACAACTCACTCTGCTCGCATCCTGTCGCTTCCAACACAAGCTAATCGGGAATTACCTCCCACAAACTCCAAAAAAGACAAATTTTGGCTCCAAACTCGAAGCCCAAATTTGATCCCAAAAATGAAGCCATTTTTGGCATTGCCTAATGAAACAATAGAAGCGGCCTCCCAGAAACTGAAATTAAAAATGGGCTTCCATCAAAAGAAAACACAAACGGTCCAAAACGAAAAGAAATACCGCGGCGCCAAAAAAAGATCTCCCCATGAGTGTGCCCAGCAACCCTTTTACAGATGTTCGCATAACCGAAGCGTATGTCTAGCATAAAGTTCCATTCTTCAACAAGCGAAGCACGTGACTCTCTTCATGCGCCAGGATGCCAGAAGCAAAGATTATACAGATACACCTGTTTTTTCTAGGTCATGTTGACACTGAGGTGGTACACCCATCAGTCTCCAAAATCACCCTACTTTCCGAAGCTTGAATTAGATTCAATGAGCTCCCCCGTGCCCCCAATGCCAATGTTGATACACATAAACGGGAAAAATCAAACGCACCGGTGCACGATCAATCTAAGAGGCCTCTCGTTTGCACAACATCCAACATTGAGATTCCAGGGGGAAGGGGATACGCATCGAGTAAACATGAAATCTAAAGCCAGCAGCCAGACTACTGACACAGTAGTTGCTGAGTGGCAAACTGCCTGTGAGACACATGGACTTGCCATTCTATCTCAAACATTGAAGTCTGTGCTAACGCTTCCGGCACCATAAGCAAGTGCTAGCTACGTAAGTAAAGTTCCCACCCTAAACCGTCCCTAGGGAAAACACGAAATCCTACGCTCGCGTGAACAATCTACAAATCTAGCGCGGTCGCGCCGAAATATGTATATCCTAACGTGAGGCTATCGACGCGGTATACATATCACCAATATACTGAACCACGCGTTATATATATAGACAACGGCAGCAAACGACATCACAGCAACTGAAAATCAATGTCCACAACATGTGAGAAATGGCAAATGCGCACTCTCAGATAAACGGCCATCCCTTTTTTCTTTCTCTTTCTGCTTTTCACAGGTTGGATGGAATCCCCACCATAGCTAATGACTTGCCATGTATTCGTCCGATGGCATCCGAGCCAAATTAGCCCCAGGTGTGGGGGGTGGGCTAAAAAAGTGCTCCAACCCCATTTTTTGATCCACTCAAATGGATACGGTATTTGTAAAATGTTTCACCTGAGAATTACTGAAAGATTCTGTACAGAAAAAACCGGTTGACACAAATCTTGTGTAAAAGTAAACGAGCATCCAGGGCTCATTTAGTTATCAAATGAGTCCCAGTTGTCCCATCACCTCAATCACCTAAACACCTTCCAGACAAGAACCAAAGGATCAGAGTTACCGGAAACAGCCAGTTGGGATGTTTCAGATTTTGGGTTAGAGTTCTGGAAGTTATCATTCAATACTTCCGAGTGTCTATCAATCCAGGACACCGGATAGACACCGCGCCGAGCGTAGAAACCGCGTAGGGTGAGGGTAACACCAAGGAGTAGGAAACCGAACCCGCAAGAGTCACAGCCGGACTACCGTTGCGAGTTACTTACTTACAAACACACAGTCGGAACACGTCGCGAATGCGTGCTAGCTATGTAAGTAAAGTTCCCACCCTAAACCCTCCCTAGAAGAAAAAAACGAAATCCTACCCTCGTGTGAACACTCTACAAATCTAGCGCGGTCGCGCCGAAATATGTATATCCTAACGTGAGGCTATCGCCGCGGTATACATATCACCAATATACTGAACCACGCGTTATATATAGAGACAACGGCAGCAAACGACATCAAAATCACAGCAACTGAAAATCAATGTCCACAACATGTGAGAAATGGCAAATGCGCACTCTCAGATAAACGGCCATCCCTTTTTTCTTTCTCTTTTTGCTTATCACAGGTTGGATGGAATCCCCACCATAGCTAAGGACTTGCCATGTATTCGTCCGATGGCATCCGAGTCAAATTGGCCCCAAGTCCAAGGTGGCCATCCGTGAATCACCAAGGGCCAATTCCTCCCGTGCGCACTTTCTTCTTTGCCGGCTCTTTGGGCAAGTCTTCTGATTTTCTTTTTTGTCTTTCCTCATGAAATTCTTTGGCATGTTGCAAAAACCTAGTGAGCACGTGCCACTTCTGTTCCTGAGGAATCCAACGCACGCGCAACTCCATGTCCAAGCAGTCAAATTTCATGTTGGATAGGTCATCTGCCAGTTGGTTCTTGTCCCTCCGCAGCCAGTCAAGGGCTAGGTAGCAGTTGCCCAGCCGTAGAGACTCAGATAACTCCATCACCAAGACGGTGAGGGGGAATTTTGTTGACATCCACTTTGATATTGCGTAGGGCGTAGGCCTTCCCCAAGTTGTCTGCTTTCCCCCTAATCCAACACTTGGCTTTGGCTTCTCTGGTACCAAATGGTGTCCATATTTTGACAGCCGCCAAAGTTGCAAGCAGCTCCAATGATGCTATCAAACGCTTGGGGTCCTTCCGCAACTTAAGCCAGTCTGCACAATCTGAAGTGACCTCCTCCGAACACCAGGCAAGTATCTTGCCACCCTGACCCTGAAGATAGCCACCAATCCAAGCTCCATTCTCCGTAGCCAGGCCCTGGCGTCCGTGAAGAACAACAGTCCTCGGCCACTTCATCCCCCCGATTCTGTGGGGGCGCTTCCTGCATCTGTCCGCCCTCCTTGAACCTCTCGCCCAAGAAGAGCAAAATCGCTCTCAACATCGCTAGAAGTTTCACAGTCCCCTTTTTGTTCCTGATCGCCGATGACCCAGGCCCTGTTCAAAAGCTTTCGGAGTCGTGCGCCCCTCAGAGGCCAGTTTCATGACCCAGTTTCGCATCCATTCTGCACGCTTCGGTTCTTCAAGGACTTTCATTTGTTTGAGATAAGATCTAGAAACCGCAAACGAAACGCAAACAAACTAAAAACACAAAACACAACTGAAACTTCAATCCTTCCGCTTGACCATGTCTCGCTTCCGATCTCAGACGCACTCCCTTTTCATCTGCTGGATGGTTTGTCCCACCGTTGGATCAGGTTTGGATTCGACCATACTTCAATCGAAACCATTTGACCAGATGGCATCAACAACCCATTCGGGTCAGATGACATCAGCGATGCACCATTGTGCATTGTCATAGATTCAGTCACAATATTGAACGTGACATCACGTCACTCCGCTCTGAAGTGCAACGCACTGTAATGAAACATGAGCACAAAGGCTTCAAGACGAAACAGAATTCGGAGCACCAATAGAAGAAATAGGGTGAAACTGCGAGATCAAACTGTTGATACAACATTGGGAAAGAATTGAGAACAAGGTGAGGGAGGGAGGGAAACGAAAAATGTATACGCACAAATGAAAGTCCTTGAGCCAAAATGGAATAGAAACACAAAGAAGTTCCTTGCAAAACACAATGAACAAGTACATTAAACGTTCTTCAAGGACTTTCATTTGTTTGAGATAAGATCTAGAAACCGCAAACGAAACGCAAACAAACTAAAAACACAAAACACAACTGAAACTTCAATCCTCCCGCTTGACCATGTCTCGCTTCTGATCTCAGACGCACTCCCTTTTCATCTGCTGGATGGTTTGTCCCACCGTTGGATCAGGTTTGGATTCGACCATACTTCAATCGAAACCATTTGACCAGATGGCATCAACAACCCAAACAACAACTATCTGGTATAATGGTTATCGCCCAAACACGCCCAAACCAGAAGTGAGAACCATTCCAGCAGATCACATCGCAAGAGGATGTGGGAGTTTCCAAAGGAGTTTCGAATCAGGAGGATGCAATGTTGGGTGAGGTGAACAACGAAATAATTGATTGAGTGAAAGATGAATCCTTTCACTTGGTTGAAAATCATGTGGAATGGGAGTGGAAAAATCCCATCGGCTCAGATCATCCGCTATGACATTGTCCGCGCCAGGAATATGGCTCACATCCAATTCAATACCCGTTGTCGAAGCCAGGCACGTGAGGATCTCGACAAAGAGACATAGAGGATGAGTCGTAGTGAATAATTTGTTGCTCACGCTCTCTGCTCCCGTATTGTCGCTCAAAGATTTCACGCAAATGGGAATACGAAAACCAGGAAAAGATGTGGCCACCAGCCAAACTAACGCAATTTGGGCTAAAGTTTCAAATGAAGCAATGCTTCGTTGCATATTTGGGTCTAAATGAATTGACAAAATGTCAAAATCTGCATGGGAAAATTTTTCAGAAAACCAAAATTGGACGCCTGAATGATGACGGATGAAACCTCCAATTTGGCAGTAGGAACCCGATGCACATGCATCGGCTGCCGCAATGCCATTCCAATATGGCTTCGCTCTCATTGGTCGAGATGGAGAAACACCCATCAGCCAATGGTCAAATAACTTCAAAATTCAAAGAGAATCAGGACGAAGCTTGCGTTTGGAGGAATTCGGATTGATAATTCGTAACCAAATCCTGTTCTCTGTTTTGATATGTAACGACGTCAGATCCGCCAATGAGGATACTGCTTGATGTCGAACTGCGATGAGCTTACCTGAAATAGGTATAGCGGAGCCCAAAGGTGCTGTATGAAAAGTCAAAGTAGGGGTTAAATATTGATGAATGCGAGGCCATGTACCAGCATCAATACTGAAATGTGTCGCCGGGATGGTGTAGAGGTCGTGGTACCAATAGTGGATCCAGATCCGCATGAGTGGAAATAATTGAGTAATCCACATTGCCAGGCCAATGAGTTTCTCCAAAGACTTACGAGTAGTTCGTGGCTGGGAAACAAGATGTTCGATGTACCCTCGGAGTTTGAGGATCTTTTCAGTGGGGATTGTCACAATACCTGCATTGAAATTGAATTTCCAGCCAATATAGTCAATGGAAGAGTGCATGGCCGTCTTCTTCCAGCTGATAGGAATTTCCAAAAGTTGGCAGAAAATACACAGCAATGTGGCCGACAGCGGCATCATGTTGGCTTCCATAAAAAATAAGAAGTCATCCACATATAAAAATCCAGCGTGACTCAACCAGATCAAGTGGTGAAATATACGGAGAAGGAGTCCACCCAATCTCGCCCACCAAAAGGCAGAGAAAACTGCACCAAATGGGGTAACTCTATAGAAGAAAAGCTGCCCTTCTAGCGAAAAGCCAACCAGTCCGCATTCGTCTGGATGTAGAACTATTCTTTTATGAGCGGCTTTAACGTCTAAAGAGAAGCCCATCAGATTTCTCTGACACTGACGTAGAGGGTAGCTACGTAACACCTCCTTGGCAGTCGGGAGGGTGGACCTCTCCGGAATGATACACCGACCATTGAGGCCGCATACGCTGGAGTCCACAACTAATCGGGGGGCTCGACTATCCGATCGAGCCACTCCCAATTTTCCAATAGCAACACCGGCCGGATATTCTTGTTGCGCTTCTTCCAAAGAACCTTTATACGCAAAAACCCAACCCTTGTCAATTTCCTCCTGAACCAGTTCTCGTGTTAATGGTAGATCTTCTTCAGCGCTCTGCCAGTTGGAGAGGTGGGCTGACAATGGATCGGGTTCTATATCCGCACGTTCTTTAGGTGGAAAAATACCCGACGGAGGAATCGCCGTGGAAAAACCGGTTCGGACACCTTCTAATAGACTGGGTAATAATGTAAAATCGACGTCGTGCATAATCTTCTGTAAAGAGTGTAAAATATGAAGATGTATTGGCTGATGTTGTCGAACTGACCAATCTGGTGGATGTCCCTGTGCCTCCAAGAATTTCTCCAGATCATCCTTGAATGGGGTCAGAATCTCCATCGAAAACGGTGGTGAAGGGTTGCCCGACGCCACATGAGCCAGTAGGATCTTATCCAATCGCTCAGAGATGATCCTGTGCATCCACGAAGTACGGAGCGTCTTGAACCAGTCATGTTCTTGACGATTATCCTGACTCCAGTCCGGGTGGGAAAAAGCTCCACCCCCATCTATTTGTGCAAATGGATAATCCGACAGGTGCTTGGTGGGCATGAGGGCATCCAGAGAGGACCATTGTAGGTCCAACGCTGATGTGTCCAGTAATGGGGCCACAAGATTTGCAAATAACTGTGCCAGTTTCTGTGGGTATTGTGCCGTCGCCCTACTGGCAAAAGCACCAGAATCGTCTCGGAGACCTTGAAGACGAATATGAGAATTAGGGGGATGTTGACAAATGCAGCCTAATGGTCGAAGACCTGTAAAACTCGAGGCAAACATCCAAGCTTTGTAAACATCCATTTCGTAGGCGCAAGCTGCCACGTTGATACAGGAAGCCCCAATCAATTGCAGAAATTGGCGTACTACCTTCTCTAACCATGACATGGCGTTCAAGGGTTGTTCAAGGTGGACATGCCCGCCTGCTTGAAAAACCAGGGTGAGGACCTCAACGCAGCGAGAGAGCATCATAAAGCTCTCTTGGACCCGTTGCAGTTCCCAGGGTGTAAGATTAGGCAGACCGGACAAGTGTTCCGGTGATCGTAGAGCTTTGGGACCGTCATCATCTCGAAGTTTGAGTCTGCTGTATTCACAGCAGGAAGGGCTGGCCGCTCCATAACCTACCTGACCACTGGATGCAACCCGCAATAAGTCCTCATAGGCCGCATCTGATAAAATATCCATAGAAGAATCCAATAAAACATCAAAAGAAAGAACTGAATGGCCATGCTCCAATACAGCTGTCGATAACGGACGTGTAACACCTGAACATACATCGAGAAAGAATTTGCCTGATGGAACTGCTTTTAAAACTGAAGTTGAAACGGTGGGTGGAATTGACGTAGAGGAAACCAAGGGTTCCGCTGTGGCATGGATGGTGGCAGTGATATCTGTTTCCGCATTCGCCTGCTCGGGTTGGGGCAAACGGCCCGGGGTAAAACTATCAATAGGTGGAGCGAAGTCTTGAACTGGGTCCACATCATGCACTGGGAGGGTCTCCACGGAGTCAACCTCATTGAATGGATCATGCATGGTGAAACCTGGATCACGATCCCCTTCGGGGAGTCAGTGAGGGGTGGCAAAGTGGGACATCGCCCCATGATTTTTGCCACAGGCTTTTCCATCAACTGGGTACGCACACAAATGCTGGAAGCCACAGTTGGGATTCTGACACTTGCCCACCTGATATCGCATGCATAGTTGCTTGAAGCCACCATCCCGTTGAATCTCCGTGAGCCATTGAACCTTGCCCTTGGATTTCCCGGAATTCTGCTTGCCCTTTGACTTCCCTTGGCCTTTGCCTTTCGGTCCATCCCCACGAGGGGAAGCTGTCTGTGAAGATGGTGATGGGAGTGGCTTGAGCACGCGAGGTCGTGGCTGAAGGAGACTTGGCAGGTCATGACGTAAATTCGTCATTTCATGCAAGCAATCATCCATGTTCCATCCTCGTTCCATGAGCTCGGCAATGACTGTCCAAATTTTTTGGTCCGCATGTTGAGCCTCTAAAACACTGGGGTTACGTAAATCTCCATCATACTTGGCGGTCAAAAACCCGAGGAATTTGTGGGTATAGGCCTTGAGATTGGCTAGGTGAGCTCCTTGGCACAAGGCGATGGCCCGATCATGAACCTCAAGCATATTGCGAATTGAGTTCACCCCCATGGCGTTGTTGGACACGTCAATTGAAGGAGGATCATCAAACAACAAGGAGTGGAGCCCCAAGTGGTCAATTTTTGGCATCTTCTGAGCTCGATTGCTAGAGATCTCTTCTGACCTGGTGAGCGAGATGCGATACTTCCATGGCACCCACTTCCAAACCTTCTTGGAGAGCTGGTCATGAACTAGGCTCACTAATCTGGTCGACGGAAAAAGGTCCGCATGGATCAACTCGGATGGATAGTTGGCCATGAATTTTTGTTTCATCGCCTGCAACACGGCATTCTCCAATTTGGGAGGAAAGGCTTCTGCCCAAGACCCTGCTGGCGTGGTAGTGCTCAATGTCGGGGTTGAGAGAGCCGATGCACTGGGTCCTTGTTGAGGTTGGAGTGACTGAAATGCCGTGCGGAGGCAAGCCTTTTGGAATACCGACAGAGGAGTAGAAGATGACCATTCCTGGAGAACATCTTCAAATCCTTGAATGTCAGCTGCTGCCATGCGAAACGATTGACAGGTCCACCCCTCCATCATGAGTGAGCTCGTGAGGGCCGAGTCCACCCCACTCTGTATCAGAACATCTTCCAAGTTGTCAGACGCCATGGCACCACCACGTAAACGAAGGAGAAAATCGCGTAGGATCGACGAACCCCAAACAATATCCCATATGTTGGGGGAAAAATAGAAAATTGAAAGAAAACAAACTCGTGACAGCGCCAGTGAATAATTGACCAAAATTGAAGGGGTGGAAACGCCATAGCTAAGCCCCTAGACTCCGTGCGTGAGTCGCACAACTGATTTTTAACCCACCGGGTTCACTGGAGCCATCACCGACGGCAACCATGACGATATGTCACGTCACTCACACCGTGAGTGCAGCTTCAACCACCGGTTGAAAAAACGATGAATTGACCACCGGTCAGTTTAAGGCTCACACCGTGAGCTAATAACCTCAACCACCGGTTGAGACGCTGAATGACCACCGGTCATTGTGATACTCACACCGTGAGTCTATAGTCAACCACCGGTTGAATATAACATGACAACCTGTCATTTCAACTCACACCGTGAGTAACCCTTCAACCACCGGTTGAAATGTGATGCCAACACCGTTGACATGTTAGGGGATACCATCCCCTATTGTAAAAAGAATCTGAATCCCTCCCCGAGTAAAAAGAGGGAAAAAAAATCTCAAAACGTACACAACATGAACAACTCGGTAAACCCTACCAGGGAAAACCGACTGCACCTAACAGGTCACCGACCCGTTGGAAACAACTCCAAGCGCAAAATTTTTCATACCGCTTGGAATGGGACCTATCCAGATCCTTGCAGGAGCTGACAATTGTGCCAAACCTTCCTGCACGCTGCATGCTGGCAGAACGGCATAGTAGAATCGAGTCTATCCAAGATCTCGGCTTCCACACCACGCATTTGCCTACCACAGGCAGGTTTGAGAGGCTGTCCTTGCCACCGAGGACGCCAATCTTCATCATCGCCGGCACGCACTAATGCATGAACAACTGCCCGATATCGTCCCACCAGGACTTCATCGACGTCCAAAGGTACAACGTCCACCTTGGAAGTCTTGGGTCGAGGCTCCATGACCTCGTCATCCGACGATGAATCCGATGAACTCTCAGAACTGCAGGTTGAGGACTCCAAAAAATCAGGAGGTTGTGTCTCAGATGACTCATTGAATTGAAACCACTGAAAATCAAACTGTGGGAGAGATTTAACAAATTTCTCCAAAACAACCTTGGGTTCGACCATAGGAGCCTGACTCCCCCGATGTTGTGCAATGGCTGGACGCCATCCACCCTGAACCTCTTGTATCATCTTGCGCTGATACGTCAAGGACGTCCACACCACGTCACGTGAGTATGTGTCCAAACTGCTATTGGGATCAGAATGGTGTCCCTGAGACAAACGCTGTTCAGGGGTAACCTTCTCATGCAGCTGTGGTCCACGACAATAGCGTCGCTTTGAGGGAGTGCAACGTGAAGTTCAACTTCAAGTGCTGCAAGGGGTCTGGTCGTTGACTCCAGGGGCAACCCAAAAATTTCCGTAGGTAAAATAACGCTGTAGCATAATCCATCGGTTGCAATGGATAAACTGGTCCATCCTCATCCATCAGTGGAAGAAGAAAATCAACATCGGAGAGGCCTGATTTGGCCAATACCGTATCTAAAACCGTCAAGAACTTCCACAACCAGTTGTGGGAGCCTTTGCTGAGGAAACCCTCCGCCGCCACTGCTAGGGGCATGCCGCTGACTGCTGTCTTGGAGCGCCATATCACCCCTCGCATGGTACCATCGTGATAGATGATCTTTTGGAGGTCTAACCTTTGCGCGTCGGAAAAACGAAGGGATCCCCATGCCATCAATAAAAATGTACCCAGTAGAATGATTTCTAATACTGTGCAGTTGGACATGAGCACACGACGCTCCCACTGCACAAATGCCCACAGAGGCAGAGGAGGTGCTTGTTTCCTGTCCCTGGGCACCTTTTGGTTCAGAAAGGTTCCAATAAGTACTGAATGCACCACCTGTAAACATCCGACCTCTGCTGATTTCAACAGCCATCGAAGCGCTTTGATGACCGAACTGCAAGAACTACTGCCATGAGATGTAGATCTCGACAGTGACATTGTGATTAAAATGTCTGCCAATTGAACCTCAGTAATGGATACCAAATCCACCTGTAACGCTTTGCAGGTCTTGAAAAAGGACTTGCAACTGGAAATATACTTCATAGCTGTGCCCGGTGCCACATTGTCCAAAATTCGGTTCAAATGCATACGTTGATGCTGCGACATACTCGTCTCTTGCCAAATTCTGGATAGTGGGCCCAGCTGTGATAACAATTCGAACCACATCTGACAGAGCACCGGTGAAGCACTGGAAAAACGAACTCTGCTAATAGCCCCTGGGTGACGTCTGGGAGGATGCAGTAACGCTGGAGAGGGCCGATTAGGCACAAAATCAACTGGTACTGACTCTGAATAACCCAAACATCCTTGAGGCTGAGGTAGTGCAACTCTCTGTTGCAACGTCGTCCAGCTCCGAATCACAGGTAAATTCTGTGGGGGAATTTGCAAAGGGGTAACCCCAGGTACAATGCGAATGGAATCAACAGGAAATGGTTGGGGGGGAGGAACATTACCCCCCTGGTTTAAATCGGAAACCCTCAAAATACCTGGATGTTGCTGAGCTGAAGACTGTCCCGAGCCCCCCATAGCGCTCGTGACCACCGGATGCAATGCAGACACTTGGAATGGAGACACCCGGCGAGGACCTTGATGTAGAGGTGCACGCTGCAATGGAGCAGATTTCGGCCTGGATTGCAACGGCGGTGAAATCACTGAACTCGTGTCCCATGGACCCTCAACACTCTGCACCAATGACCAACCATCCATGGAATTATCCATCACGCCAATGCCGATGTGTATAGCAACTATGCCCCGTATGACCAGGCTTTGCACGTCCACAGGGTAAATCACACCAGCGACACTTTGCACCACACGATCCACGTTCGGGGATGGGTGACCCTGAAGGATTTTCCAAATCAGGTGTAGTTTGTAATGGTACAGATGATGCTGAAGATAAAGGGATACGAAATCGATGGCACAACTCGTTGACAATGAGGAGAAGTGCAGTAATCAACTGGTCTAGTGATAACACCGAGACCGTCGCTCCGTCCATGCCGCCCGGGACCGCCCGGTGTCTGTGAATCAAACCGAAAAAACATGAAACTCTGAAAATATCTGCATGACAGGAAAAACGCAACTGATCAGTGTCAATGCCTGCTACCAATGTCCAAAAGAAAACTGTTGGCTGAGCAGACAAAAACGAAAAATGTATACGCACAAATGAAAGTCCTTGAGCCAAAATGGAATAGAAACACAAAGAAGTTCCTTGCAAAACACAATGAACAAGTACATTAAACGTGGGAGCCCTATTTTGTAAGTGGTGTAGTTTGTAAATAAATCAATCCACTCAACACGCAAGCCGCCCCTCTGTTTGGCCCACGAAAGCTAAGTGATGCCTCTGCGTCCTCCAGCTGAAGATGCAATGGCCTCCAAGTCATCCGCAAAGATCAGTAACTCAACTGGCATCTGTGGTCCTAACATCTCGTGCATCAGTCTGATCCCTGCCCCTGCTATCCTTGCCCAACAGTATGATGCGCAGGACAGCCCAAATGTTCCAACCCTGTTGACATACACGTAGATGTCATCATCGCAAATCCTGCATGACAGTAAGCCCCGTTCCTCAGGTGCATGCAGGAAGCGTCTGTGTGCCTTACTGACGTCACCTACCAAGTTCTTCAAGAACTTTCATTTGTCAACCAGATAAAACCTAGATCACGCAAATAAATTAAACACGCCAAAAATAACAAACGCATTCGATCCTCCCGTATGACCCTGTCTCGTTTCAGATCTCAGAACGCTCTCCCTTTTCATCTGCTGGATGGTTTGTCTCACTGTGAAACCAGGTTGGATTCGACCATACTTCAATCGAACCATTTGACCAGATGGCATCAACAACCCATTCGGGTCGATTGAATGTATTTAATGCACCATTGTGCATTGTCGCAGGTTCTGCGGAATGCCACGATTGACATAAAAGTCATCAACGCATTGAAGACGAAGCACAGCGAAGCAAAAAATGGAGTCAACGATAACGACTAAATAGAAAAGCCATGGTAACACATATATGCAAGGACTAGAAGTCCCGAAATTGGAGCACCATACCATTCGAAACGAGTGAAAGCAAGGTGAAACACTGAGATCAGAAGGTCGACAAGACCCATATGAAAACATGAGAACAAGGTGAGGGAGGGAGGGAAACAAAAAATTGTAAACGCACAAATGAAAGTCCTTGAGCCAAAATGGAAAGGTATACAAAGAAGATCCTTGCAAAACACAATGAACAAGTACATTAAACGTTCTTCAAGGACTTTCATTTGTCAACGAGATAAAACCTAAATCACGCAAATAAATTAAACACGCCAAAAATAACAAACGCATTCGATCCTCCCGTTTGACCCTGTCTCGTTTCAGATCTCAGAACGCTCTCCCTTTTCATCTGCTGGATCGTTTGTCTCACTGTGAAACCAGGTTGGATTCGACCATACTTCAATCGAACCATTTGACCAGATGGCATCAACAACCTATTCGGGTCGATTGAATGTATTTAATGCACCATTGTGCATTGTCGCAGGTTCTGCGGAATGCCACAATTGACATAAAAGTCATCAACGCATTGAAGACGAAGCACAGCGAAGCAAAAAATGGAGTCAACGATAACGACCAAATAGGAAAGCCATGGTAACACATATATGCAAGGACTAGAAGTCCCGAAATTGGAGCACCATACGATTCGAAACGAGTGAAAGCAAGGTGAAACACTGAGATCAGAAGGTCGACAAGACCCATATGAAAACATGAGAACAAGGTGAGGGAGGGAGGGAGAGAAACAAAAAATTGTAAAGGCACAAATGAAAGTCCTTGAGCCAAAATGGAAAGGTATACAAAGAAGATCCTTGCAAAACACAATGAACAAGTACATTAAACGTTCTTCAAGGACTTTCATTTGTCAACGAGATAAAACCTAAATCACGCAAATAAATTAAAACACGCCAAAAATAACAAAACGCATTCGATCTCCCGTTTGACCCTGTTCGTTTCAGATCTCAGAACGCTCTCCCTTTTCATCTGCTGGATCGTTTGTCTCACTGTGAAACCAGGTTGGATTCGACCATACTTCAATCGAACCATTTGACCAGATGGCATCAACAACCTATTCGGGTCGATTGAATGTATTTAATGCACCATTGTGCATTGTCGCAGGTTCTGCGGAATGCCACGATTGACATAAAAGTCATCAACGCATTGAAGACGAAGCACAGAGAAGAAAAATGGAGTTCCACGATAACGACTAAATAGAAAAGCCATGGTCTGGTAACACATATATGCAAGGACTAGAAGTCCCGAAATTGGAGCACCATACGATTCGAAACGAGTGAAAGCAAGGTGAAACACTGAGATCAGAAGGTCGACAAGACCCATATGAAAACATGAGAACAAGGTGAGGGAGGGAGGGAAACAAAAAATTGTAAGTAAAGGCACAAATGAAAGTCCTTGAGCCAAAATGGAAAGGTATACAAAGAAGATCCTTGCAAAACACAATGAACAAGTACATTAAACGTTCTTCAAGGACTTTCATTTGTCAACCAGATAAAACCTAGATCACGCAAATAAATTAAACACGCCAAAAATAACAAACGCATTCGATCCTCCCGTTTGACCCTGTCTCGTTTCAGATCTCAGAACGCTCTCCCTTTTCATCTGCTGGATCGTTTGTCTCACTGTGAAACCAGGTTGGATTCGACCATACTTCAATCGAACCATTTGACCAGATGGCATCAACAACCCATTCGGGTCGATTGAATGTATTTAATGCACCATTGTGCATTGCTGCAGGTTCTGCGGAATGCCACGATTGACATAAAAGTCATCAACGCATTGAAGACGAAGCACAGCGAAGCAAAAAATGGAGTCAACGATAACGACTAAATAGAAAAGCCATGGTCTGGTAACACATATATGCAAGGACTAGAAGTCCCGAAATTGGAGCACCATACCATTCGAAACGAGTGAAAGCAAGGTGAAACACTGAGATCAGAAGGTCGACAAGACCCATATGAAAACATGAGAACAAGGTGAGGGAGGGAGGGAAACAAAAAATTGTAAAGGCACAAATGAAAGTCCTTGAGCCAAAATGGAAAGGTATACAAAGAAGATCCTTGCAAAACACAATGAACAAGTACATTAAACGTTCTTCAAGGACTTTCATTTGTCAACCAGATAAAACCTAGATCACGCAAATAAATTAAACACGCCAAAAATAACAAACGCATTCGATCCTCCCGTTTGACCCTGTCTCGTTTCAGATCTCAGAACACTCTCCCTTTTCATCTGCTGGATCGTTTGTCTCACTGTGAAACCAGGTTGGATTCGACCATACTTCAATCGAACCATTTGACCAGATGGCATCAACAACCCATTCGGGTCGATTGAATGTATTTAATGCACCATTGTGCATTGTCGCAGGTTCTGCGGAATGCCACGATTGACATAAAAGTCATCAACGCATTGAAGACGAAGCACAGCGAAGCAAAAAATGGAGTCAACGATAACGACTAAATAGAAAAGCCATGGGTAAACATGGATATGCAAGGACTAGAAGTCCCGAAAAATGGAAGCACCATTTTACGATTTCGAAAACGAGTGCAAGCAAGGTAACA